ATATGGCCTTGTTTTAGCCAAGACAAATATGTTTAGACGTCTATAAGACATCTTTTAAAAACCAAAAATGCTTGCTGGGAACACCTGAAGAGACTATTTATATGTTGTATTTGAAGACATCTGTCAGGTTTTTGTCCTCAAATAGTTCCTGTGTGCAATACTAATGTCACATTCAAAGATTTTTGTTTTGTTATGATTTGATTTTTGATTGCTATAGTCTGTGACATAATAATATGTAAGGGGTAAACAACAGCTTGATCCAGAGTAGAAGTGTAATTGAAGAATTTAAATGGTATTTAAATAGGTTGGCTGTTGATTAAACTTCTTACTATGTGATCGTTGGCCAAGTTATAGACAGGCTTAAACTACACATCTGACAAAAGTCTTGTCGTTGATCCCAGCTGTAAGAGCAACAAATAATAACTTGACTTCTAGTTGACCGTTTGGAAAAGTGGCAGAAGGTAGATTTCTGATTAATCATCTGTTGAACTGCATCCCAATCATCACAAATACTGCAAAAGTCCTTTTGGAACCTGCATGGACACAAGATTCTCATAGAAGTCAGTCAAGATTGTTGAAGGAAACATCAATGTTTGGAGTCACATTCAGTATGGGGGTGTGCGAGAGATCTGCAGAGTGGATGGCAACATCAACAGCCTGAGGTATCAAGACATTTGTGCTGCCCATTACATTACAAACCACAGAAGAGGGCAAATTCTTCAGCAGGATAGCTCTCCTCCTCATATTGCAGCCTCCACATCAAAGTTCCTGAAAGCAAAGAAGGTAAAGATGCTCCAGGATTGGCCAACCCAATCACCAGACATGAACCTTATTGAACATATCAGGGGTAAGAACGCTTTTTGCCATTCCAGATGACTTTATTAATAAGTTATTTGAGTCATTGCAGAGATGTATGGATGCAGTCCTCCAAGCTCATGAGAGTCATACACAATATTCATTCTTTTTCCACTGCACCATGACTTTATATTCTATATTGTACATTTTTTTGTCTAAGCAAAGTCAGGCCTTGTCCTAATTAAATAATTCAAAATCAAGGCATGATCATGTTTTTTTTTTTTTTTTTGGTAAAATAATTGTAATCTAGAGGCCTTTGCTTTTCATATAAGCCATTTCTGAAACCAAATGATCAACTACAAGTCAAGTTATTATATGTTTTTCCTAAAGCTTGAATAGGTTACAAGACTTTAGTCAGGTAGTGTAGTGTTGCTATTTGAAGCACAATATTTGTGGCTATCAATTTGTGACATGTTAGATCTCCCGCTTTGAATCTGTCACAGGTAACTCATAGAAACATGTGTAAGCTACCTCTTTGCAATTATTTTTGAGCTTATTTATGGGTTAGTTGATCAACATCGGCTTTCTGGGGAAGCCCATGTCAATGTCCTCCAGTTTACAAAAAGGAATGACAGCTCCAACAATTAACACTGAGTCTAAATGGTTACTGCTCTTCATTGTTGGGTGAACTATCCCTTTAATGTCAAATTTACAAGAATTGATTACATTTGTGGACAATCTGCCTCTATATTCATGCTGTTGATAGACATTCATTTGTACTGAACCCGGAACATTTTATTGGTTCACACATTCACGCATGCTCTGCCTGTGGTCACAAAAGGGTCACTGTTCTGTCTACTGTCCGTCACAGTGAGGTTTCAGGTGGACGCTCTCTGTCCACATGGCCCTCATTTATGTGTTCTCTTCCAATACAACCCCTGTGCATGTCTGTTTTATTTCTCTCACTTCTCTCATTGTCAACTATGTCTCAGGTTGGATGAAAGGATCTCTCTCGCTGGATGCCTCTGTGGAGCATGATGGATATTTCAGTGCAGAAGAGCAGGCCAACTCTGACCCAGAAGAGGAGAGGGAAGACAAACTGGTGCGAGACAGTACTGTTTTTACTGTTAAACTTAGGGGCAAAAGTAAAGAGTAAAGGATTACAATTACTTAAATTACTGTTACAGTAGTTTTTCTCAGGAATTGTGCATATTAAGTAGTTTTAAACATGTCTAGTTTTACTTTTAATTGAATACATTTCTAGTTCTGTGTAATTTTACTGCGCTATTTTATCTACTGTGGTTTGCTGAGTAGAATAATCAGTCCCATGATTTTGATCCAGTCAACTGGGACCTAATAAAATCTCACCAGACAGAGTTACCTCAAGACATGGATGGTTTACAAATTCACCAAACACAGGCCTGTAGCCAGCCTGTTGAAAAGGGTGGTTCTTTTTTCTCAAAAAGTGGACCTTTTTGCAGTTTGCCTTATTTTCTATTTAATTTAGAGGGTAAATACTGTATTTTAGTGACATTTTAAGCACAGTTTTTAGCTGGATTAGCTTGCTGGGTGGTCATCATAACCACACTTTTTGATGTACCAAAAACATTTACAAAATACATAGAATAAAGAAACATGGAAAAAATGCTTGTTCTGAAATACAAATTTATTACATCATATCATTAGGAAAAAATTTGTTACATTTAGTATAAATGCATTAAATAAAAAAGTAGCCTAATGTCATTTATTGAGTAAATAAGAAACTGGCTAGCACATTCAACTTCCTCAGTCAGAATTTGGTCTTCGGAACGATAAAAAATCAAAACAATAATAATGTAAATAGGGGCATCACAGTGGCGCAGTGGGTAGCACAAACCCCTCACAGCAAGAGGGTTGCTGGTTTGCACCCGGCTGGGTCAGTTGGCATTTCTGTGTAGAGTTTGCATCTTCTCCCCGTGTTTATGTGGGTTTCCTTATGGTGCTCTGGTTTCCCCGATAGTCCAAAGACAACTACTCCACCAATAGCTGGTGTGTGGTGAGCGCACTGGTGCCGTTGTCCTTTGGCTGCCGTTGCATCATCCAAGTGGATGCTGCACACTGGTGGTGGTGTGGAGAGAACCTCCCCCTCAAGATTGTGAAGCGCTTTGGGTGTATGGCCATACACAATAAATGCGCTATGTAAATACACATTACATGAATTGAATAAGCTAAATTAGCCTTCAAGAGTCCACACTTAGCTGATGATTGATTATAAAGCTTGTTTTGCACGCTGTCCCGGGAGAGAGCCCTGAGCTCATAAGATCCTCAAGCCTGGGGCTTCCTCTCATTTGCAAGGTGAGAGGGGAGTTCAAAACCTAATATTTGAGTACTACCTAAGTACCAGAAAGGCTACTTTTTAACTCAAACTTTGGGTCACTACTTTTTTCACCACTGTGTTTTGAGCATTACCTTTTCTGTGTTTTAGAGTGAAGAAGAACCGCAGCCTGTGAGGATAGATGAAGAGATCCAGTGTTTTGAAGAGACAGAGGAACCTGAGGAATGAGAGTTGAGTGTGAATGAGTCTGAAATGCCATCAATGTACAGCATACACACGTTTCATGCTTAACTCTAGAAAAGAGGGAGATGAGACACATAAACTATTCACTTTTGGGTACTCTTAAAAATAAAGGTTCCTGGTAGAACCAGAGGTTTAGAAAACACAGATTATTATAATTTTTGTTATCAGTGGCAGTGTGACAATAATATCACAGTATACAGCTAGTTTTAAATGTTTGTCGATGTAAAAAAATGCTTTTTAGAACCAGAAAAGTACCAGCAGGGGTCTTACTAACCAGCCAAAAGCCAAAGGGTTAGTGCCAAATGGGTTTTACAACCTCCAAAATGACATTTTTCTATTTAAATTAGTCAAAAAACATATTTACTGTAGGCCATGTCAATAAAATCTATACGCTAACACTTAGAACTCTCCAAAAATCTGCATACAGTAGAAATTGACTCCTGTTAAGAGTACAGAAACCTATAAAAGAAGTTTTATTTTTAAGAGTGTAGTGCACCAAAATAATGCATTTTGACACCTGAGCCAGCTCTTCACACACTGTCTCGTAATGCTGTGATACATGCTTCATATCCCAAAAACCTTAGTAGTACTTTGTGCCACAGTAATCCTACTGGGATATGGCATGTCTGTTGTTAAGTCCTGTGGTCTTCAATGTGAAAGCACGTGACAGTTGTTATATCATTGTGTACAATGCAGGAAACCAGGACCTACACGTAAAACAAGCATATCATATATGCAGACGTTGTTTCTCAATGTGACTGTGATCACCCTGTGCCATTTGGATGTAAATATATGTGTACAAATCAATATTGTTTTATATATGCGTATAAAATAAATTTTAGTTGATGAAATTGCGCCTATGTTGATTATACATTAATTGCTTTAATTATAATTGTGTGTATTCCATATTCATTTATAATCAATAATGTATAGAATATGTTTATTGACATTGTCGGAGTATGTATATGTGATTATGCATTACATTCCTTATTGCTTGAATACATTATTATCTAACATGTTATCAAAGCTATTGTACAATAATTTAATTGATGTTCATTAATGAACAATATTCATTCTAAAGAGAGAACTTTTCATCCTCCGGCTGTTGCAACTGTGTGCTAAAACCTGGCTAAAACTAGTAAACAAGTGAGCTAAAACTATTTAAATAGCTGAAAGAATAAAAGGGCAGCTCAATAATAGACAACAGCTCATGCTGACTTTGGTAAAGCTGCATGTGCATGTACAAGGAGACGGAAATGAAATTCTCTGCAATATAGGTTGGGGACAGCAGAAATTCTGGATTTGGCCTTGTAGACTTAGCGTTGTGCATTTAAAAAAAAATGTTTAATGGCTTCTAATATTTCCAATACTGAGCAATTTATTTGATCAAGATTTTCCCAGAACACTTTCTTCTGGAGATATTTTGAACGGTTGATGGTCCTTCTGTGGGGAAAATAGCTTAGGATACTATAAAAGGTCCAGTGTTTACTTTCTTCAAAATATATTATTTTGTGTTTACCAGAAGAAATTAATGAAGGTTTGATTTTTTTTGAGAGAACACTTAGAGTACAATGCTTTACAAATATCTATTTGAAAATATGTTAGGTAATAACCAGAACTCTATTACAGGATGATTTACATGCGTCTTATGGCTACAATTCAAATCAGAGGGGGTTTGGTTAGGAAGTGGTTTGACAAATCGTCTAGAACTGTCTGGAGTTTAAATGGTTAACGAGAGCGGCTCCATGCCTGCTGAATCCGCCTACGGAAATCGAAACTTACTGATATCGAAAGTAAGAAGCAGTTTCAGTGAAAACAGGATGAGACGCTGCTACTTTTGAATCTCAACGAGCATCGCTCAACATGGGTTCTGGTCAAAGTCCATCAACGTACAGAATAATTTGCGCCCTGTGCAAAACATCAGATGAAACCGAAACCACTGGACCACTGTCATCCAAAGAGGACATCTCTGCACACCAAAACTGTTTGGTCAGTGTGGGTTTTACTCATAACTTTTACAGACATATGCAGTTGTAGCTTTAGTTACGTTCGTCAGTGCCGAATTTTTTTGGCTTCATTTAACCTCTTGTTTGTGTTTGGATTATGGTGAATATGTGTGCCGAGTTTTTTTCTGGTGTATAAATCGTTTCATAACTGGCGAGCCAAAATTGATCTCTACAAAAATTGTCTTTGAAAATGTATGTATAGGCCTATATACAGGGGTTGGACAGTTTAATTGAAAAAGCTTGGTTTAGAGCACAATACCATTGACCAGAGGGATTTGAGCCATTCTTCTTACAGAATAGTGGCCAGGTCACTGCATGATGCTGGTGTAAGAAAGCGTTTCCTAAACTGCTGCTCCAAAACACGTCAAAGTGTCTCAACAATATTTGAATCTTGTGACTATGCAGGCCATGAGAGATATTCAACTGCACTTTTATGTTCATCAAATCACTGTCTCCAATTTTGCTTGTGTATTGGTGCATTATCACCCTGATACACTGAACCACCTTCAGGATACCTTCAGTTTGAATCATTGGGCACACATGGTCCTCCAGAATAGTTCAGTGGTGCTTGGCAGTGACGCACATGTAGCACAAGTATTGGGCCTAAGGAAGGCTACTAACCATCACTGATCCACTCTGGGCATGCAACAGTCTGGGTGGTACGCTTCTTTGGGGCTTCTCAACATCGTAACTTTACTGGATGTGGGAAACACAGTGAAGGTGGACTCATCAGAGAACAATACATTGTCTACATCCCAAGATTTTCACTGCTGGCACCATTGAAATTGATGTTTTGCATTGACACAGCAAGTGACTAAAGGTTTGGCTATAGCTGGCCGGCCATGTATATTGACCCTGTGTAGCTCCTGACAAACAGTTTTGGTCAAAACAGGAAGCTGTGATTTTATGTTTTTTGGATACTATTAGGTTTTGCACCTAGACATTCCTCTTGGGTCCACAGTTACTCCTGTTGGATGTGGTTCATCTTTTTTGGTGGGATTATGACATCACTTTGGATGTGGTTGCTCTTGATACATCACAAAGACTTGCTGTTTTGGTCACAGATCTGCCAGTAAGACACAAACCAACAGGTCGTCCTCTTTTGAACTCTGATACGTCCCACATTATGTTGTGTGCATTGCAATATGTTAACCAAAACCGTGCTAGTACTCTGCTAATTAAACCGTCACACTCTATTCTTACTAGTAAAATGTGCGATCAATGAAGATTGGCCCCAGGCTGGTCAAATTTAGCCGCAAAACCTCCAACACTAAATTTGCCAGTGTTTCAGTTTCATTGTCCAGCCCCTGTTACTGTTACGTCTACAATACAGGTGTTTCACTAATGTTCATTTCATGTTTTCAGTTGTTTTCATCAAATATCTACTGCAAGAACTCACCCACATATGATGACCTGTTTGGTTTTGATTTGGAAGATGTAAAGAAAGAGCAGCGGAGAGGACAAAAACTTGTGCGTATCACAAACACATTGCCCAAACACAAAGCATCAGTAGTTAGCTACAATAAGAATAACACACATCCATCAGGCCTTCTGGTTGGTCAGGTGAAGCAGAAGTTTATTTTACAATAACAACTGCCTGAATATTTTCTTTTTTTTTTTTTTTTTTGGAAATACAAGTAAGTAATTGTACACATTGTAATTAGTTAAGTTTGAGTTAAATATTTATTTGCGTTTTAAGTGAGAGTTTGTGATGTTATTATGTTAATTTACAAATATAAAAAAAGTTTTGTATTTTTGTGGGGTGGTTCGGACGACCCACCCCTCATTGACAAAGGTCCAGAATTTTTTCTAATGATGTGATGTAATGAATATGTATTTTAAAAATAAGTATTTATTCATTTTTTTATTCTAAATCTTTAGGAAATATTTTTGGTACATCAAAAAGTGTGGTAGTAATAACCACCCGACTAGCTATTCCAGCAAAATATGTGGATCTGCAAAAAGATCCACATTTTCAGAAAAACAAACCACCCCATTCACCTGGCTGGCTGGCTGGCTTTTGAATTGTTCAACATTAACTAAGCAATATACTAAGATTATTAAATGTCTTTTAATTAATTTTCTTTTTTAAGTGTACAATGTCTTTAATAAATGGAGCCTTATTTATTATTGTAAAGTGTAAATGAACAGTTGGTAGAATTCAATCAATATTTTAAGGCAGATTAACATGAGAAAACGTGGAGAAAAAACATTTGAAAGATTTTACTGACTACTAAGAATCATGAAACAGCCTGAAAGCCAATTCACATGTCACCAACAGGCATGGACAGTCAACAAATCACATCCCTTCTGAGTCAATCTAAGATCTGGCGAGCACTGATTCAACATTCAACAGAAACAGGCGCAGTAGTATCACACTAGCCCAACAAAGCCTGACAAAGTTGTTGTCTGTGAGTGCAGTGTGAATTGGCCTGTTTGTACTCTCTGATTTGCACTGTTTAGCATAATTAGTCAATTAAAAATACTAATGCTGTCTTTATTTATAGCGTTGTTACTTCTGTAACAAAACTGGTGCTACAGTAGGATGTGAAATAAAGCGATGTCCACGATCATTTCATTATCCTTGCGCCATAAAGGCCGATGCCAGAGCAATTGAAGACTTCTCTACAGGCACATACAGGTAAGACAAAAGAATCTCTCATGTTGTAGATTTCACCAAAATGAATTAATGATCTAATAAATAATAACCTAATAAATGTTTGTTTTTTAGAGTGTATTGTAAATCCCATGATCCAAACCCCATAGAAATAAGTAAGTGTTTACATATTCATTATGGTGATGGTGAAACAAATATTGCTTTTGTTTTTATACTGTATGTGGGTCAAATTCAAAGATCAGACATCATATTTTGATGTAAATATTATTCACAAAAGTGATATTATATTCTAAGAAGGAATATTAAGTATAAGTGAATGTATACTTCTATGGGTGGCACGGTGACTCAGTAGTTAGCACTGTCGCCTCACAATTAGGTCACTGATTCAAATCCCGGCTGGGCCAGTTGGCATTTCTGTGTGGAGTTTGCATGTTCTCCCCGTGTTGTCGTGGGTTTCCTCTGGGTGCTCCGGTTTGCCCCACAGTTCAAAGACATGTGCTATAAGTGAATTGGGTAAACAAAATTGGCCGTAGTGTGTGTGTGTGTGTGTGTGTGTGTGTGTGTGTGTGTGTGTGTGTGTGTGTGTGTGTGTGTGTGTGTGTGTGTGTGAGTGAGTGAGTGAGTGAGTGAGTGAGTGAATGCGAGAGTGTATGGGTGTTTCCCAATACTAGGTTACAGTTGGAAGGGTATCTGCTGTGTAAAACATATACCGGAATAATTGGTTCATTCCACTGTGTAACCCCCGATAAATAAGGGACCAAGCTGAAGGAAAATAAATTAATGTATACTTTTACGCTTCAAATAGCTTTTGTGAAAAAGGTCAGCATATGGGTTAAATAATGTTGCCGTTTAGCATAAAGACTTATTTGTTTAAAAATAAAATCACATACTTATTCTGTGCTGTGATTATTGTATAATAATATTAATAATAATGTAGTGCCTTAAAAGCTTGGTAACACTTTATTTTGATGGTCTACAGTATTTGAGTATTAGTAGGCTGTCTGCTTAATATCTGCTGATACTGCTCCTACAACAGACATTTAACTGACTAGAAGAAACTTTTAAAGTACATGTCAACTTACACTAACCCTAACCCCAACCTAACAGTCTACTCATAATCTAAAGAGAATTAGTTGTCATGTAGATGCAATGTAACTAAATTTAACAAACGGGCCATCAAAATAAAGTGTGACCAAAAACTTAATTCTCGAGTGCTTTACAGTTGAAAACATACAGGGAAAAAACAGATAAAATCAGACAAAACATCAGGGATGATTTAAACACCTTAAATGTCGAATATTGTACAGGAGAGAGTCCTTTTAGAGCAGGGGTCACCAACCTTTTGGAAACTGAGAGCTACTTCTTAGGTACCGATTAGTGTGAAGGGCTACCAGTAATTAAATAACACATTTTTCTTAATTTACTTTTAATTATATGTTATTATTAATAATATTCATTTATGTGAAGACATTGATCATGTAAATTATTTCTCACAGTAGTTGTCAACAATGATTTAACAAGTTAGATAAATATCAATATGCAACACTTCATTTGTCTCAAATTGTTTTTAAAGTTTTTTTTTTTTAAATATATAACTTAAAGTAACTTTCAAATTTACAAAAATGCAAGTGTGATTTAAAAAGAATACCTATAAAAATATTAGATGCAGCTTACTCATATGTGGTACTATGGTGAGCTATTTTTAGAACAGGCCCGCGGGCAACTCATGTGAACCCGGCGGGCTTCCTGGTGCCCACGGGCACCATGTTGGTGACCCCTGTTTTAGAGCAAGGGTAGGAAAAGCCCAGTCACTAATAGAGCATAGACGAGTTAAAGGAACTGCCAAAATGCCAGAATAAGAGGAATGGAGAGAAGATACAGGGGTGTCAGATTATGCAAGGCCAAAGCGTAAGGATTTTAAAGATACTACGATATCTAATTGGGAGCCAATAATTTGCCAAAACTCAAACTCTACTTGTCCTGTCAGGATTATAGAAGTGGAATTTTCGATATATAAAACTGCAATTTATTTAGGCAATAAAAGTTCTTAAGTTGAAAGAATTGTGTTTTTATTACAGAATTACAGTGTTCTGAACAGAGGGGCCACATTTTAAATGAGGATCAATTATTTCCCAAAAGTTCTTTATTTTTGATTGAAATCTCAAGACCATCTACAGTAAATGATAAAGGTCTGGTGGGTTGAAACAGTAAGCATAAGTTCTTTATTGTTCTATTTAGGCAAAGAATAAAAAATATATATCAGAAATGCAATGTTGCAAATCTGCAAAGAGGTCATAGTAATTCCACAAGAAAGAAGAGGTGAAATGTACACGCAGAAGAGTAATGGGCTTCAAATTAATTCCTGGGATCAATTGTAAATATGTAAGAACTAATTTTGTTGTCTGTTTTAATATTTTACATTTTAAAAACTTCTTTCTTACAAAACCTACAGTTTTGAAGGATAGCAACAAGTAATAATTATGACCCACTTACCAAAGTTGCAAATCTGTAAGCCACTTCATTTAGTCCTCAATGTCATTTTTAGTTGATATTTATCAGATTCAGCAAGTTCAGTAGAGTGAAAAGTGGAGTATTGATGTTTTGACTATGTTAAAATGTAGACATGACATTAATTTATTCATTTATGGGGTTTTACTCACAGTTACATTATATCTGATTATTTATCAACATGAAAACCATTACCTTTTTTGTCATTGTGATGACAGATATTATATAAATGCTAAACAAAACTAATAAATGTGATAAGATTGAACTATTATCATATGCCTATATCATAGATGACGAAATTGATAACGATGTTGACCTTGTGTTGGCTTCAGTGGAGAAACATGTACCTGCAGAACAGCACAATGTAAGTTTGCATTTTATAATCTGAATGTTTAATCTGTCTGTGTGCATCATGTTAGTAAATGTCATTACATGTGAAGAGCGCATTTGTAAAAGAAAACGATTTGTAAAAATTGTTACAATTGATACCATTGTCTTTTGCAAAATGTCTTCATTTTGAAATGGTTTGTTTTAAGCAAAGATATGTTTTTAAAGGAATTCTGGGTGACGCTGTACTTAAAATTTTAAGGCAACAAGCTTATTTTTGAGTTTACTCAACATAAATCGAGTCAAGTGAATTAATTTGGCTGAAAGTTGAGACAACTCAAAAATGTCCTGAAGTTTGTTGCCTTAATTTTATGTTAAGTCAACTTTTTTTTATTTACACTGTACTAGGGCTGCACAAAATATCATTTTAGTATCAAAATCACAACGTGTGCATCCGCAATTGTCATATCGCATAGATATGCAATGTTGGGTTGAGATTATATTTGAGCAAGAGTTGCAGTTCAGAACATGAGATTTGTGGAATTATTGCAGAGTTTAACCATAATGGAGTGAAAATTGTATCATTTGCTTGTTTGTAAAGCCTGAGAGAGGTTTAAGTATACAAGCACAAGACATTTTAGCAACTGTAAGCTTAATAAAGAATAATTGTGTTGAATTATTTGTACATCAATATCTACCTGAATATCTATTAATGAGCAACAAATTATAAGTTTATTGAAGCAAAAGTCATAGTTTACACATGGCCAATAGAGGAAGTGAGCTTCAAAATAAAGTGTGACTTTAAATTCTTTCCAAGTAGTGCTTTTAAAACATTTGGTGGAATTGTATAGATGTGCTATATCGCAATATATATTGCAGAAAAAATAAAATATAGCAATGTACAACTTATCCAATATTGTGCAGCCCTACATTTTACCAATATATTTTGGTAATATATTATTTAGCCAGGGGCGAGGCAGTGGCGCAGTAGGTAGTGCTGTCGCCTCACAGCAAGAAGGTCGCCGGTTCGAACCTCGGCTGAGTTGGCGTTTCTGTGTAGAGTTTGCATGTTCTCCCTGCCTTCGCGTGGGTTTCCTCCAGGTGCTCCGGTTTTCCCCCACAGTCCAAAAACATGCAGTACAGGTGAATTGGGTAAGCTAAATTGTCAGTAGTGTGTGTGTGGATGTTTCCCAGAGATGTGTTGCGGCTGGAAGGGCATCTGCTGCGTAAAAAAACTTGCTGTATAAGTTTTCTGTTCATTCTGCTGTGGCGACCCCGAATTAATAATGGGACTAAGCCGACAAGAAAATGAATGAATGAATTATTTAGCCAACATATATTTGGCTCACCACATGCAAGCATTTATTGTAAATCACTGCACACCACAAATAATATGGACCCCATAATCCAAAATGAATGTCAATTCTTTTGAATAATGTTGGATTTTGTACTACATATTTATGTAAGAGACATTATCCAAGTCAAATTTAGCCATACAAGTCTCAGGATTTTTTTAAGAAACACTGGTTTGATACTTCTCTTTTAGTAATTTGTTGTAATTTCTCTGTGATCACTTTTAATAGCAGTCAACTCCTGACCCTGAACGTACAAGGTGTGTATGTCTTTGTTCACTCGTTTATGTACATAAAAACAGCAGCATGAAATATGTTATAAAATATGGTGTGATTAAGATTGTGATGGGGTGTGTGATAGTTAAAATCTTATAAAGACTATTATCTTTAAAGACTTGAGCTTGCCAAAACAAAAACAAAAAATGATGAAACCTGTTACAATATTCCTTAAATTATGAAATATATATATATATATGTAGTTAGGTAATATTGCAACCAAGAGTTTTATATTTTTAAAAGATCACTACTCTTAAAAAGCCTTATGTTACAACTCCCCTAGAGTTAAACAGCCAAGTTTTACCATTTTTTATCCATTCAGCAAATCTCCAGTCTGGCAGGAGCACTTTTAGCTTGGCTTAGCGAAGAGTATTGAATCAGATTGGAAGTTTTTCACCTTACTCAAACATTTAAAAAAGTATCTTAATTTTTTTCCTATTTAAAGGTTGACACTTCTGTAGTTACATCATGTAATAAGATTGACGAAAAATGAAAAGTTGCTATTTTCTAGGCTGAAAAGGCAAGAACTATACTTTCATTCCAGCATAATAAAAATAATCATGGTGCTGCTGTACCATGGCTGCAGCAGGTGCTATGACATCATGCATGCGGCACCTGAAATTGTTATGAATTGTCTCTACCAAATGTCTCCATGGTTGCAAGGCATGCTCCTTGTGCAATTAGGTCGTAAAAAAATCCCCCCCAAAATGTATATGTATATATATATATATATTATATATATATTTTTTTTTGTCAGTATCAAGTCACCCCTAGGCTTCAATCAGTCATTAGGAACTTTTGCATTCGGGCAGTTAGAAGTAGTTCAGTCATAGAAACCAGCCACCATCAGTTCATGAGAACTAATTTCCCCAAAGACCATTTTCATGGCTGCATTTGCACAATCACTAGTAACTTCGAAGTAATGCAAGCCAGCTAATAATACATCACACACTGCATTCAACAAAAACAGGACAATGTGAATAAAACAGTTTGTTTTTATTGTGTTTCACAATACTGCATATGGAGTTTGCATTTGAATCTGAAGAAAAGAGTACTTAACTACCTATGACAATTGGTAGCGCTGCATGTCTTCAAGGCTGAGAAAAGAACACAATGCCACAGTGCAGTTTGAATTCACCAAAAGTGGATACTTCCACCAATAGCTCCAGGAACTATTAAAAGTCCTCCAGTATGAAAGCCCTGATTTTATTAATATTTTTTGATGCTTGTCTGAAAGCTTCTTGAACAAGGTTTTCTGTCTGTTTGTAGGCCCAGTGAAGAAGTCAAGACACCAGCAAAAGGTACAGGAAAACACTCTGTGAACACTTCATTTCTTACCGTAATTAAGCATAACCTCAGTATATCCTCAGGAGCTTATAATAGCTATAGTTGTCGTAAGACTGTCTAAAAAGAAATAAATTTGCTTGTTTTTTTTAGCTTCATCAAATGGAGGTTTAACATCTGATCAGAGGTCTTGTGGGACAGCAGACAAGCGCAGGGTCAGAGCATACATAATCTAGCACACAATCTCCTTCTCATAAACTAATGGCATTTTCCTTAGTGCAGTCGTCATCATCACCATCTAAAAAACAGCCTGTGTAAGAACTTCACAAAATATTACTCTATAACCTTAAACTTCATTTGAAATGAATAAAAATGGACAATGATGGACAATTTACTTGCATTGTGCTAACTGAAAAATAATACTGATTAATATCAATTAATATATATATTTATAACCCAGTAATACACAGTAACATTATTATGAATGATTGTCATGCACAGGCTATTTAAGCTGAATGCATGCTGATTGGCTGTTACTGTTTTAGTGTAAAAGTTGTTCATTTAAGTAATTCCAATCATGTTGTTTTTCAGTGCTATTGCTGTTCTCTATTTTTTTAGTAATATCCTTTGTGTGGGCCTTAAAAGTACAGCTTATAAAAATGTTCTGCTTTTTTTCTTGTCTTTTTGTTTTATTAATTTAGATTGAATGTGATTCTCAAGAACAGTGAGTAGTCAACACTTGTAATTAAAGAACACTGTCCAGTTATTAGCCATAACGTGACCTTGATAAGCTTAAATTTGGTTTCTTTTAGCTCCCCAGAACACAAAACACCCACCAAAAAGAAAAAAAAGAGACGTCTTGAATACCCAGGTGCTTATTTATTTTATTTCTAGTTGTGGGTCAAAATGAGAATATATAAATTATTCATAAATATTTATTTTGTTACATAAAAAATATGGTTATTAAATTAAAGAAATTTGAATAATATATAATCTCCATTTTAGATAATGAAAACCCAACCAGTGCTGATGCTGTAATGGCTCCAGAAGTTTCAGCTCCAGAGGAGTCCATGACTGTTAACCAACCCAACGTGAGTCTTAAATAATAAAAAGCATAATAATAAAGAGTGTTTCATGTGAAAACAACATTATGATGAATCCCAGTTCGTATTTTTTCATAGATTTAATGTTAAACTTTACTGTCACTGGTCATTCCCAGTTTAAAAGGGCATATGTAGAATTTAGATATCATTGTTATAAGTGATTACAGTAAGTAAACTGCAGCCAGCAACTTATTTGCACTATTGTACACATAATATACAAGAGACTGACCACAAACATGACATTAAGAGCATAACAATGTAAAATTGTGTTTTTAGTGAGTGATTTATTGTGTTCTGCATAAAGAGTATATAAATGTGTCTAACTGCTCAAAGTTGCCTGAGGTCTTGCAGAAAGGCTCATTTGGTAAATGGGTTTAGGAGATTTGGGCTCCGTTTACACTAGTGCGTTTGAGTTTTAAAACAGCGTTTTAGAATGAAAACGATTCGTGTCCACACTAGCGTTTCACCCAGCGTTTCTGAACAACTCTCCGTCTACACTAAAACGGAGAAAACGCACATCACGTGACCACACACACACAGACACACACACTCTGGCATGCGCTGCAGCATGCTTTGAGCACGTACCCATATGAGAGCTGTGCACGTCGGACCGTTCATCAAGGATCTCCCGTTGGAGATCTCACTATATTTGTTAAACGTGATATATAATTAATCTTGTTGTCTATATCTAACGAGATATTCCCCGACTTTGATTCTATTACTTGTTCTCAGGTAATGTGTTTTGGCTGAGTGCAAGTATAAGTTAGGTTAATATCTTAATTAATGTAACCGCGGACACCGATTCTGCACAATTGACTGATTGCTTGCCTTTATGTCCTATATTGTATCAACTTATTGTAAGTTATACTTTTAAAATGGCCATAATTGATTATTAAAACTAATATTCAGTGAAAGAGAGGGTATGTTTCGTATTTTCAATGAAAATGAAAGGAGGCAGTAATGTTATAGGCTCTGTTTTGTTATAAATATGCATGAAGATGACGGTCATATTATGCAGCTGCACGACGCCTCAACATTTTTGATGTCTGTTAAGTTGCTAATATTAAAATGAAAATAGGCAGTTCCTCACATCATGTTTTCATTTTATTGTTAAGACAGTGAAACAGCGTAGCTAGATTGATGTGAATGACTTTATAAAGTACACTTCATATCAAACTTGCGAAGTCTAAACTTACAAGGAGAGGATGCAGGACTGAACTGTGTGTGTATGCTACTTAAAACTGAGGAAAAAGCCCTAATCAGAGAAGCAAATGTCTGCCGCCCCGTCTTCGTTTTCCCCCATGTCTCTGTTTTCCCCCATCCACACTGAGACGGAGCAGCAGTGTTTTAGAATGAAAAGGACCTCTCCAGCGTTTTCAAAATGCTCCATTTTTGGGGCTCGAAAAATTCGGCATAGTGTGGATGAATGGCGTAACCATAGCAAAACCTATAAACTTGTAAACGGGGCGTGAGATTTGGGTTTAGTGTCTTAGCAATTGTAAAAAAACTGAAATAGGCCTACATGACAATACTTACAAATAGCCCATTTATTAGGAACAAGTATAGAAGAAATACAGGTTTAGAAAAACATATAGATGATGAATATACACCAACATTTTTATTGCAAAACTCTTTGTTTGTATTAATTATTCATTGAAAGATAGTATTTGAAAAAAAAGTTTGTATTAAACCACACAGTATACATAGGATCTTTATCTTTAGAACATTCAGCAGCTCCAGTATCAGTAACACTGCATCATTAACATGTTTTTCTCTTCACTTTTAATAGCATTCCACTCCTCTGCCTGAAAATACGAGGTATGTTTAAGATTATCTGTATTACAATAAATCAATAACCTAAAACCAGAGTAGTCTTGCCCTGCAATGACACATTTTGAAAGCAGTAGAAACACTTTTACTACAGTTTATCATGATATTTTGGCAAAACAATTAAATTAGTAAGTTATATATGGAATTAAATTGACAAACTTTACTGAGAGCATCATGTTCTTTGCAGGTCCTGTGAAAAGCTCAACCTATCAACCACAGGTAAAATGTGTTGACAAATTTGAAAACAAAGACACAAAGTATTAACTATGAGTTTTGATTCTTTACTGTAAAGGAATGATGCCATTATTTTCAGGTGCTGCTGCTGATGATGAGGATGATGAAACTGACATTGAATCAGTGAGTCTATCTGTGCTGAACAAAACACACTTACGTCACATTGTAAGTATAAAGTTTGAAATATACCCGGGCCTTAATGTTTTTTGCAGATAAATTTATTAGTGTTTTATGTCAGTTACATAAACTTACTTTGGGACAAAGTCATTGGTTGCTGCTTGCACAGTTTAAAATGAAGTGTGGTCACACTTTATTTTGATGGTTTATTTGTTGAAATTTAGTTACATTGTGTCTACATGCCAACTGATTCTCATTAGATTATAAGTAGACTGTTAGGTTGGGGTTAGGGTTGGTGTAAGTTGACATGTACTTGCAAAGTTTCTTCTAGTCAGTTAAATGTCTGTTGAAGGAGCAGTATCAGCAGATATTAAACAGACAGTCTACTAATACTCAAATGGACCATCAAAATAAAGCGTTACCTAAAGTGTCAAGCCAGCAATTAACATTGATCCCAAAGTAACTAGCTGACCAGTCCTCTCATGCAAAATGATCACCCAAGTTGATGTAAAAATTTTGTGCCATTGTGCTTTAGGCATCCCAAGTTCAAGTCTTGACTCGTAGACCTTTCATGATACCATTTTCCCTCTTTATCCAGCTCCTCTTGCCGTCTAAAAAACCTTCTTTTCCTAATAAAGGAAAAAACTGAAATAACCACAAAAGTAGATTAAGATGATATTTTTCTTTCAGTTAAATTTATTTCTCAAAGTAATTTAAAGTTTTTTAAGGTTTTTTTTCATCCTCACCATTGCTGCATTTATTTTATCAAAATAAACAATATAGTGAAAATAATACTATTGTGTTGGGAAATTCAGGTTTATTTATTTTAATTAAATCATTATTTTATTTAATCATTAAGTAATTGTATTAACTTTTTTAGTGTTCCTGTAACTGAGCACTTAGTGTACCATGGGCAGGACACTGGAGCACTAACATTACTGTAACTAAATAATCAGGCTTTTTTGATTATTGTTTTGACTGTTGTGTACAAGTTTATATGCCGTTAAAACAGAACTTCCAGAAACTTGTTTTATATTTTGTCATATTTTGTTGCGCTGTGGTTGTAAAGAAAGAGAAACATAATTGGCAGAACTGTGGTAGATACAATAATCTGTCTTATTCCATTAAAAAAGTGTAACATCATCTTTTATTATTTAAATTTTGTGGAAAAAGCAGAATGTTTGTTTCAAAATAGCAAAACATAAAACTTATTTATATTATTGGATTGCAGACATCAGCATTCAGAAATCATTCTGCTTAGCTTATTTGGTGTCCAAGAAATGATTTTATTCATCATAAATGTTCAAAACATTTTATGCTGCTTAATATCTGTAATAATAATTTTTTATTCCAGAATATTAATTTATTTGATTAGTTTATGCATTATTGCCAAACAAATATATGACAATAATTTAGAGCCTTAAAAACATTTTTAAAAATTAAAAACTGCTTTCATTCTCGCCAAAATAAAACAAATAAGACTTTCTCCAGAAGAAAAAAATATTATACTGTGAAAAATTTGCTTTGTTAAACATCATTTGTGAAATATTTGAAAAAGTCATAGGAGGGCTAATCAATCTGACTTTAACTTTAAATGACATTTTTCATCTATATATTGGATGGCCTCGATTGTGATTTTCATTTTGGGTGAATTATCTCTTTAAGTAGCCTGAATTAGTTTGTGCATTAGCAGTGTGATTGATTACAGCGATCTTTCTCTCTCTCTTTCTCTCAGGAAGAGTCTCAGAGTGTGTTAACATATGAAACGGACCCTGTGCCATGTATTGTTATTTTAGATTCGGGACCCTCATTGGAATCAGGTGCATTCACATCTCTTCAGTGTCATTTCAGTGAGTTGTGAATCTATGTGCAATTAACTATTTCATACATACTTTTCCTCTCATTTTCAGAGATCAGTCTAGAATCTTGTTCTTCGAGAAATCCTAGTCCAGCACATGAGTTCGTCACTGTCCCTAAACAGGAGAAAATAACACCCACAGATAGAACCTCTCCAGCTCAAACTGTCACACCACAAGTACCTGCGCCAAACCAGAAGCGTGTGAGCGATGGTCCATCAGTGTCACCACAGCATCCAAGCCCCACAGCAGGCTTAAGAATATCTGCAGTATGCACACTAGCACAATCTGCCATCAAAAAAGAGCAGCTGTCAGATCCTCCAGCAGAAGTAAGCACTAGTGATTCACAAAGCACTGTGCCGAACTGCCAGACCCGAGCTGCCAAATTCTGGACGAGATGCAATCAGGCCGGGTGGAGTGAAGGAATCTTCTCAGAGCTCATGTCTCTGCTGCATAGCCTGGGACAAAGAGTGCAGTCGGGGCAAGCCAGTTACCAGGGTAAGAACAGCCTTCATTAAAGCACGTTTAGTGGAATATTACTATATGCTTACTATAGCACACATTCATTGTCCCTCATTTTAAATATTCAAAAGGCACCTCAAATCTAATATCTTCTGAGCACTTGTCTGCATTCCAACAAAAAAAGAAGGTTCTTGTTTATATTTCTGTAACAGTGTAAGAAAGCTTGTAGGTTTGTAGCAGAGTTGGTGTTTATGCTTGAAATATGTTTGAAATTTTAAAACAACATGATAAAAATATAATAGCAACTTTTTTATATACAGTTAAAGTCAGAATTATTAGCCCCCCTTTGAATTTTTTTTCTCTCTTTTAAATTTTTCCCAAATTATGTTTAGCAGAGCAAGGAAATTTACACAGTATGTCTGAAAATATTTTGTTTTCTGGAGAAAGTCTTATTTGTTTTATTTCAACTTTAAAATTGTAATTTTTAAACACTATTTTAAGGACAACATTAACCCCTTTAGGCTGTTTTTTTTTCGATGTAGTCTACAGAACAAACCATCGTTATACAATAAATTTGTAAGTCGCTTTGGATAAAAGCGTCAGCTAAATGACTAAATGTAAATGTAAATGTAAATAACTTGTCTTATTACCCTAACCTGCCTAGTTAACCTACTTAGCCTAGTTAAGCCTTTAAATGTCACTTTAAGCTGTTTAGAAGTGTCTTGAAAAATCCGGTGTCCTGCTGAGTTTATCTCTAACTTGCTTCAAAACACCTGCCAGGAAGTTTCTAGTATATCTAGTAAAAGCTTGATTAGCTGGTTTACGTGTGCTTGATTAGGGTTGGAGCTAAACACTCCAGGACACCGACCCTGCAGGACTGAGTTTGAACACCCTTGACTTAAGCACATACAATGAAATAAAAAACATACCAACAAATCGTTACCTTAGAATGATAAGGTCAATCTGCGTTCTGAATGATTTTGAGATACTGAGCTTCAAAGTTTTGACTTTACATACAGTAAACAATATGTGTATAGCACTTCTGTTTTATACATTAACATGACAGAGACCCTAATACTCTAAATGTAAATAATCAAAATTCTCTTAAATGTGCAAACTGGGGTAAAAAACTATTTAAATATAATAGCAACTTGCAAAAATATTCTTAACTTGTTACATACAGTTTAAGTCAGAATTATTAGCCCACTGAATTATTAGCCACCTTGTTTATTTTTTCCCCCAGTTTCTGTTTAACGGAGAGAATATTTTTCAACACATTTCTAAACATAATAGTTTTAATAACTTATTTATAATTACCGATTTATTTTATCTTTGCCATGATGACAGTCAATAATATTTTACTAGATATTTTGCAGGACACTTCTATACAGCTTAACGTGGCATTTAAAGGCTTAACTAGGTTAATTAGGTTAACTAGGCAGGTTAGAGTAATTAGGCAAGTTATTGTATAATGATGGTTTGTTCTGTAGACTATCGAAAAAATAGCTTAAAGGGGCTAAAGATTTTGTCCTTAAAATGTTTTTTTTTAATTTTTTTTTATTAAAAACTGCTTTTATTCTAGCCTAAATAAAGCAAATAAGACTTTTCCAGAAGAAAAAAATATTATCACACTGTGAAAATTTCTTTGCTAAACATAATTTGGAAAATATTTTAAAGAAAAATTCAAAGGGAGCTAATAATTCTGACTTCAACTGTATGCATTAGCTCAGTACTATGGTTTTTAAATGTTGTGTTAGCTGTTTGTCTTTTCTGTTGGTTCTGGTTATGTTTGGTTTCAAAATTATCTGCTGTCAACTGCAAATTTAGAACTATCGAATGTTCATCTGCTGGTTTTGACAAATGTTTTAACAAATATGGCAGAAACAGCTGCTAATTAGGTATCTGTGTAAATCTGTCTTAAATTGCTCAAATGTAAGCAACTATGATAGTTGTGCTAGACATGCTACAAATTCTTTAAAATGCTTCAAACTTTTAAGAACTTTTTCAAGCTATTTCAAACATTCAGATTAAAATGTATTTTAGAAAAGAAGACAATATCTCCAAGGCTTTCTTAAGGCTGTCTTCACAATTTGATCTACTTTTAACTTCTGGTTAAGAGTAGGTACAGTGCTCAGCATGATTGAGGAAATCCCATTTTGAAAATGAACATTTTAATTCATTTCTCAGTGATTATAGGCAATGCATTTTGGAGCATTTATACAAAACAGATTTATTAAACACATAATTATTAAAATAATATTTAGTCATCGAACGTGTTTGGAAATTTAAAAATAATACAATTAAATCAAGCAAAATATTGCAAAATATATAAATATATATATTACAACCTACAAAATTTTAACATGATTTTTTTTTTTTTTTTTTTTGCTTCTCTTGATTTTTCCTCTTTTTAAATTTGTATGTAATATTTTTCTATAACATATAAATGTGGGTGTACTTGTTTTTGGACCGTTATCGTGACTTATTTTGTTAGATAAGCTCCAGATTTGGCTTCAGTACTGACTAATCTAATGTATATGCACAAACATAATATTGTAGAGCTTCTTATTAACAATATGAGTTTAAAAGAGAGATTTGTGAGGGGTGCACTTATATATGCTGAGCCCTGTATGTGCACATCATACCTTGTCAAAAATGCTGCTGATTTAGCTTAGCTTACATTAAACGTGAAATATACCTGTAACGTTTTTTTCCTTTTATATAAGTAACAAAATGCTGCCTTTTGTTTATAAAAGACTGATGGCTGTTAAATATTCACAGACTATGAACTTGCTTTCGAAGCACTGAAGGGATCTGGACAACTGCCTTCTATCATTGCTCAGATAGAAAAAGGTAGAGCATTTTATTGTACATCACCTAGGTATAGTGCATTATTTTATAAAAACTTGGGGTCAATTTCTTTGTTGTTGTAGTCTTGTGTTGAACGACTAATTATTGCAGCGTTGGTGAGAATGAATTTGTTATTTCCTTTTTCAGATTTAGAGAAGCAGGAACAGGATTTACAGATGAAAAAAGCAGCACTGTGTGATGCCAAAGCTGCACTGGCTGATTAATATATTACTGTATAATAGTGTTGTTATCATGCAGTTATTATTGTTAAAAGGAACAAAACTTCCTTTCTGTTTATAATTCAAAAAACATGATCAAGCAGTCTTTTATAAATGAGTGATGCACGAAATGTTTACAAAAATGTTAGGTTTAAGTTTTCGATAGTTTTAGATCAGTGACAACAATATCCTGAAATGTACCACTGTATTTTGATATCCGTTCTATTTTCTAAATAAACTGAAAATTGCGGACAGTAAGAAACTTATTGATTCGGTTGAGTCTTCCCTTACAAGAAAAATCCTTTTGGAATCCTGTAGAAAACAAATCCCACACACCAAATATCTTCTCATTCCTAAAGGATCCATCAGGATTTAGTGATCATTTTTCTGTAGGACTCCTGCCTAAATATCGCCCTATCCCAACATACGATACATAAATGGAAAGATTGTTTGCTCAACTTTGATTTATAAATATAATATGTATAAATCTGAATTGGTTTTTTGGTTCAGGGTCACAAATAAAAGTGTCAGATTGCTATGCAAACACATATACTTAAAACATTTAACATTATACAAAAAGTTCCTCTTTTGTGTCTTGTGATGCTTTGTTGGCATTTCCAATATTTCCAAAAGGGCTAATATACTCCTTTCAAAAACAGCCACGGCTAACTCTTTAATTATGGCAGACTATGTACCACTCTACACCATGCTTGCAATGTATCTGTTTATTTCTTGTGGATTTCCACATGTGAGATACACTTAATACATTGAATTGGCCATATTGTCAGCTTATAAGGTTCTATCTGCGTTCTGAATGATTTTGAAATTTTAAGCTTTAAAATTTTTGTATTGCAGAGCTAAACAGTATGTGAGTAATTTTTTTTTAATAAAAGGTCTTAAAGTGTAAACAACTTATAAAAAAGCATCCCATAATGTAAATAAGTTGTCATTTAATAAGAATATATCAATATCTCAATTTTGTCAAAAATGTCAGACCCTTATAATGCTAAGGTGACGATATGTATTTTTTAACAAATTCCACTTTAAAAGTGGGAAAAAAGTGTCATCTTAAAACAAGTCCTTTGTGACTTAAATAGGAGTGTGAAATTGTTAAGAAATGTTGATAACTGTCCTCAAAACGTGAGGAATCAAGACTCACGTCACGTTCTGCTCGTCTGTGAGCAGGGACATCAGCCAGTCAGAATATATATATATATATGTGTGTGTGTGTGTGTGTGTGTGTGTGTGTGTGTGTGTGTGTGTGTGTGTGTGTGTGTGTGTGTGTGTGTGTGTGTGTGTGTGTGTGTCTCCTAAAGCCACACTAATAGTTTGTTTGACCATTCAAATGATTTTGTGTTTGACATGAGGCCTCAATAGCTTTTGTTTTAAAAGCTATTGAGGCCTCATGTCAAACACAAAATCATTTGAATGGTCAAACGAACTATTAGTGTGGCTTTAGAAGACGAAAAGCATTCCAGTTTCAAATATCTATTCAGACACTAGGTGGCAGAAGATGCCAATTTCAGAAGATCACTAACATTAACAGTAACACGAGCACGTACTATTTATCCCTCACCTTTTCCCACTGTGTTCTCACAAATTAAAGGGAACGGGGATTTTCTGACAGCTGTCATTCTTATTTTATCTACATTTGAGCGGTTTTGTAAAATGGGTTTGAACAATTTTAGATGATTGATAAATGTTTGATAAAAACTGTAAAAAACCAAACTGATGTAACCAGAGTCGAACACCCTAACAGACAACAACAACTGACTAGTAGGTTTATAGTGTTAGGATTAAACTTTAATTTAAATGTGCACTTTCTAGAAAGCTGGGTTTACTAAAAAGAGAAGCTTAAACTATGGTCAAACCCAGCCATTAGATGAAATAAAATAAACAAATTATCCAAGCAATGGGTTAGTCCATATTTTGACTAAATTCGGTTTGTAACACCTCGTTTCTGTAGTGTTATTAACGTCATCTCCGCGTGTATAATGTAAGCTAGTGTGTTAGTAGTTATAGTGCCACTGCCAACCATAATAAAACCGCCTCGACCTCAGTTAATTTAAGAAAAATAAACTATAAAATAAATAAAAAATAAAGGTTGTTAGTGAATTACAAAGGAACTTGATTGTGCTTAGAATTTTATGCTAGAGTAGTTTTTATAGAGAAAGTGCTTGTACGGGTGGTTTTGGTTTTATTTACAGGGTTTCAGGTGTTCTCAAAAGAGATGTGTTTTTTTAGTTGTCTTGAACCTGTAGTCCGATTGGGAAGATTATTCCACCAGCGTGGAGCATTGAATGAAAAGGTTTTGGAAAGTTACATTGCCTCTTCTATTTTTTTTCCCGCAGATGCTGTGGTTAAACGATGATTAGTATACTATAAAACGTTTAACTTCAAACAAATATAATTTAAATAATTATTTAACAATTAAAATCGCTTTTTATTTTATTTGTAATAAACCTTTGTAGGGCAACCCAATTGATAGGCAACTTAAAGAGTTAAAAAGGAAACTACTAGGGACACATTTTGAATTTTAGTGAAATATAGCACTTTATTTTTGTACAGACTGGTGTGTAAATGTTCACAATACTCCTACCATTTGATTTGGCAAGTCGTCATTTCATACTACGATTATTTGAAAGACAGAATACTTCAGATTTTAAATACAGCACTTGTGGAATGTACTATAAGACACAGTATACAGAGAGAATTCAGGCTTTCTCGGCAACACCCCCCCCCCCCAAAAAAAAGTCTTACAGGACACATTTTTCAAGCATCTTTGAAAAACACATAGCCATTGGATAACCACATGACCTTTTTACACTAAGACTTCAGAACTAGTTGTGGATTTAATTACTACTAAAATTGAAAAACGATTAAGAATGGTTTAGTGTTCGGAATATATAACATTACAGCAGACGCCAAGCAAATTGGGTTGAGATTTGTCATGAATGTTGCTTTGAAGATATGAATAATCAGTGGAGAAAAACCAACTGAATGCAAATAATGGAATGTTATGTTGAACATTTTTCATTAGTCTAAAATGTGCAACAATGTGATACAAGCTATTTATAGTATAAACAGAGTCGATGTTAAAACATTCATGCATGTCTGAAATATATTCAAGGCTATTTTGCAGTCGCCCATTTTATGTGCAATAGAGATCACAGAGGACATCAAATAGACTGCAGATGACCCACATGCTAAATGACTGAAAAAAATAAATGACATTTTCAAAAGGTTTGGATTGATTCTCAGTCACTCACAGCTAGTGCAAATACAATTGGTTCATTCAAGAGAGCTGATATTGGTGTAGATATAGAAAGTCAACAAAACAAATCATCAATCATTTCAAATAAACAAAAAGAAGAACACAAAGCTCATCACTGTACATCGTCATTAAATAATAGCTCAGTTTGTCAATATAACCCATTACAGAAAGTAGATATCACCATCAAGTGTCTTCAGTGCTTAAGTAAAGTGTTATCTGGGTTGTAGATTCCCTCTCTGGTGTGTGTACGTGTGTGTGTGTATATATACACATGTACACATACAGCAGAAATAAAGCCTGGTTTGTTTTCCAAATGGACTAGAGCAGCAGTAGTAACAGCATAGGCAGAAGCAACATTGAAACAGAAGAGACACACACTTCTTTAGCTCCAACACTGTGTGTGTTTCTGCACATGTAGCAGACGATTTAAAAGATCTGCTGTTCAAACAGGATCTTCTCAAAGCCTTCAGGTGGAGTGTGGTAGAAATCGCTGAACTGGCAGTCTATGATGGCACTGTCATCCACTAAGAGACGCAAACAGGAGATAACAATATATTAGTTCATCATGTGAATGGCACAAACTTTACGTTTCATGACAGTTCGCATCTGCAAAAAGGTCAGATATCAGGAAAAGCTCTCAGTTTTTGAAAAATGTGTACTCAAATCTAAAAAAAACATATCTCAAAAATTCCCATTTACATTTAAAAATCATTATTAATGAATTGTCATTTTAGTGTTTCCATGAGCGAAAGCAAGTCCAGTGTGCAATTTTTATTTATTTATTTTTTTTCCTTAGGAACATGTATATTTTTTTATGTAATAAAATCACTTTTTATGGATGGAACTTGCAAAACACAAGCAGAACAAACACATCTGTCTGTATTTTTATAGATGGAAATCTTTCACAATTCTGTATATTTGTAAATCTTTCATCATGCTGTTCTGAGTTTCATAAAAATGACTTTTGACCACAACATAAATTTATTAAATTAACTTGTTTTCACAAATTTAAGTGCACTGAATATAAAACTATTAAATCGTCCCCCAAAAACTCAGAAATGGTGTAGATTCAGCTCATTTTAAATATTAAAGTAGTTTGAACAAACAGAAAACTTTTTTTTTTTTGAGTGAAGATAATGCTTTTTTTTCCAGTGGTCCAATCAGTGAAGAAGGGTAACACAAATACACCAATCAGCCATTCTACTCAATATGTGCACAACTGAACAAATAAGTTAATATAACTAGTTACTGCTGCATTTTTATTTTCAGTAATATTCTTTTAAATAAGATGCTACTAATAATGTCACTGCTGTGGATTCCAAATCAAGGCAACTACTGTCTCAAACTCTGCAATAGTGTTAAATGAAAAATGCAATTCAAATGAGTAGTATCTACTTGCCGGCAGCTAGCTCTCTGCATTTCTAACAAAAGCTAGGTTGCTGCCGAAGTGGAGTTAGTGAGACTGGCAGGGGGGCGGGTCAATGCTGTGTGGGTCCTAACACCCCAGTATATTGGGGACTCTATAATGCTAAGTGAGCGCCATATTTCGGATAAGATATCAGACCGAGGTCCTGACTGTGGTTGTTAATAATCCCAAGATGTTCTCAAAAAGAGTAGGGGTTTAACACTGGCCTCTGTCTATCATGGCCTCCTTACTATCCCCATATCATAATTGGCTTCATCGTCTCCTCTCCACCAATCAGCTGCCGTCACGTCATCTAGGTGGATGCTGCACACTGGTTGTGGATGAGATCCCCCCTTTCAAAAAATGTGTAAAGCGCTTTGACTGTAAAGAAAAGCGCTATATAAAATGTAAGGTATTAATATTATTAATACTTCATCAGCCTGGATGTGAAAAGCTTTGGCTTAACTATCTGTAAACTCCTGTAAATCTGTAAAGCCTTATAAGTGTAAGTGGGTTTGAGAAACCACCGGTAGAAACAGTTTACTCTTTATAAAAAAAAATAAAAAAACACTCCCCCTTACTC